GGCCAAAAAGTGGCCGGAAGTGGCCGGAAATTCTAACTGAAAACTGGAAGAATTTAAATTCAGAAAACGGACTACAAACTCTCAAAATTTCTGGAATCTTATCCCATGGGCAGCTAGAGCACGAAAAGTAGTCCAAAAACCATACCTCACTCGTCCAATTTGGTGGAGAAATGAGGGAGAACGAAGCCTTGGAAAATCTGTCAAAAACACTGCGATTTTCTGCGTTTTCCGGCGGGATTCATCGGCTCCGAGGGCTGTGCTGGCCGGGGAAGAGAGAGGAGGAGGTGGCGGTTCGATTGGGACCGGTCTCGTGGCCGGTGGTCCGGTGTGGCGGCGGCGGTGGCTCTTGGAAGCCACCGGCTGTTTCAAAAAATAAAAAGGGGGGGGGGCTGCTGTCGTGAAAACCCGAGGGAGAGAGAGAGAGGGAGAGAAATTCTGGTTTTAAAACCAGTTTTTCAAAATTACAAAATTGCCCCTCCTTCAATTTTTCTCGTATCTCTCTCGTTAGAACTCGGATTTGAGTCCGTTACGTGTCTACGGACTCGTTTCGAGCTCCTCGCACCGGTACAATCGAAATTCCCAAATTCCTTCCCGAACTTAAAATGACCTTTTTGCCCCTTTCTTTATTAAATAATATTTTAAATTTTCAAAAACCTTAATTAATTCAAATCATTTTATTTTATTGTTTATTCCAATTTATTTTCTCTTAATTTTATTATTTTTCTTCTTTTTAGGACCGGGATGTTACATTACAGGATGCAGTAGTCTCAAAAGATGCATCTAGCACCATACTGGTGGATGTGTTTAGTTCTCTTGGTGTGCTGAGATCAACTTTCCATGCATATAATAGGAGCATTGCATAAGTGAGTTTGTGACCACCCTTCAGTTTTGTACAATAGAATTATATAATTTGAATGTGCAGTTTGTAAGTACTAGACGCCAATATCTAAGTTGCTGTTATTGAACAACATAGAAAGTGTTCAATGATTTTGGCACACATGACACTGAATTAGATCACACTTGACTTAAAATGATTTTGATCTTTGCAGGCGGAAGACAATCTTGCACAGGCGTTTTGTTTCGTTGGAGAGTTGCAACCTGCAATGGAACACTGTAAAGCCTCAATCGAGGTAAAACTCTTGTTGTGCACAAGTCACTTCATCCTGAACTTTTTACATTTGTGTTGATTAGATCTGATTTCTGCGAGGATAAATTCATAGATCAGACATGGAAACCTCACTAGTCACTGGGTGTACTTATTTAGTACATAAATAACTCCAAATGATGTTTTAATGTTGTTTCACATTGACAATTGGCAGATCCTGGAGAAGCTCTATAATCCTAATCACATTGTCATTGGATATGAACTTGTGAAGCTCTCGTCTATTCAGTTATCCTTGGGTGACTGTGCTGCCGTGGACAGCATAAACCGACTTTGTAATGTATTTTCGTGTTATTATGGATCTCAGACATACAAGATTTTCCCATACCTTCAATTCCTTAAGAGGAGAGAGAAGCAGACCTCTTCCTTGAAGCACCAACAAAAATGATTCAGTCTGGCAAGTTTTTGGACTCGTTGCCCACCCAAATACTGTTGAGAATGTTAAATGTAAATATAACTTGATCAATTTGCAGGAGCGCAATTACAATGTGAGTCTCCACATCTTTGAACATTGATGCATGAATTAGCATATTTCATGGATATGGATGCGTACATCTCATCTATTTCTAACTACGTCGTCAGGGAATGTCACATGTTTCAATTCAAGGCTTCAATGTCAGGGTTTATAAACTAATTTAGTCAAGGTAATTTCACATCTTTTTGTGCACATTTCGGCCCAAATTCAAAATCTCAATTCCCATTCCCATTTACCATTCTCAAATGCTTTCTCTGTCACTGTCGAACACAAAAGCCATTGAGTAAAGCTAATTTCATGAATTATGTCCAACCTAGCCCTTAAGAGGAGAGAGAAGCAGACCTCTTCCTTGAAGCACCAACAAAAATGATTCAATCTGGCAAGTTTTTGGACTCGTTGCCCACCCAAATACTGTTGAGAATGTTAAATGTAAATATAACTTGATCAATTTGCAGGAGCGCAATTACAATGTGAGTCTCCACATCTTTGAACATTGATGCATGAATTAGCATATTTCATGGATATGGATGCGTACATCTCATCTATTTCTAACTACGTCGTCAGGGAATGTCACATGTTTCAATTCAAGGCTTCAATGTCAGGGTTTATAAACTAATTTAGTCAAGGTAATTTCACATCTTTTTGTGCACATTTCGGCCCAAATTCAAAATCTCAATTCCCATTCCCATT